AAAAGATAGTCCACTCGACACTTGTGACTTTAAAGTTTGCTAAAGCTTGATAGTTTTTAGTAAATTTTACCACAGTATCTAATTTTACATATAAATAATCTATACTTTAACTTAATATAGCCTGTATTCTAACTCTAATCTTTAAAGAATAATTTATTTATAAAGTATAAAAATTCTATAAAAATAAAAGGTAGTTAAAATTTATAATTTTAACCTGGTGTTGAAATTAGTCTTATTCATTGTATTATATATATGTATTTTTTTTTACAATGTAATTAATTTGTTATCTGTATAAATTTCATAATTATTGTTTTTATATCTTACATAATATTAATATGTATGTACAGAATTAATAAAGTAACAATTAGATTTTAACTATTATATATTGTATTGTAATAAATATATATATAACTATTAGTTAAATTAGTTAAAATATTTAATTTTTTTAAATTTTTATTTTGTAAAAAATATCTATTTTTTCTTTAAATAAAAATATTTTTGAAGAAACTCATATAGAAATACTCAATTACAAACAGATCTTTCAAATTTGTAATTTCAATTTTTAGCTCAGGAAGATGATAATTTACCTTTATCTAAAATATCTGAAATTGTTGAAATTTCAGAAAATAATCTTTTAGAAAATGAGATTTGGACTGAAGAAGAGCTTTCAAAATTTAAAAAAATATATTATAAAGAAAAAGATACTTTTGAAAAACAAGATGATAATAATCAAAAATTAGAGAATGAAATAAATTTATTACAAAATAATGAATTTAAAAAATCTTTTGAAAAAAATTGTTGTGAAAAAAATTGTTTACAAACTCAAGTTGAATATTCTGTAGCTTTAAAAAGATATTTAAAATTTAAAAATCTTTCTAAATCTTTTCAAGATATATATTTATTGGGTATTATTACTACTACTAAATGACTAGAAATAATTAAACTTTCAAAAAAATCTAAACTTACTATAGAATATAGCTTTAAAAGAAAATCAATTTGTAAAAATGCTTTTAAAACAATTTATAGTCTTGGAGATACATAATGGAAAAATTTAAGAGATCATTTTGTAGAACATGATATAAATTTACATATTGATTCAAAAACTGGAAAAGCTGAAAATTAAGCAATATCTTTTGAAAAAGTTATGAAGATTATTACTTTTATAGAAAATTTTGCAAAACAAAATGGTTTACCATCTCCAGATAATTTTTATTAACTATTTATTTTATTTATACAGTAATTACTTTATTTATAATAAATTTAAATTTTATAGAACAAAGTTTTTGTGATAATACTATTGCAATTATATATTTACTAGCAGATACTACTTATTCATCTTTACATATACAATATTTAGAAACGATTAAAGCCAATAATCAATTTGAAGTTAGTTTTACAACATTTGTTAAAATTTGAAAAAAATTTTTACCACATATTAAAAAATTAACTCCATGTAGTAATTTATGTTTAAAATACAAAAATATGAGATTTAATGCAAATTATTGGTCAAATGAAGAAAAAGAAACCAAAGTTTTAGAATAGTATGAACATATTAAATGGGTATATGAAGAATGAGAAAATTATAAGTAAGTAATTTTAAATTTTATAAAAGTTAAATATTTAATTAAAAATTTTTATTCAAATTAACTATTAGTTTAATTTTATAAATTTATTAAATAATTTATATTTGATTTTTAATTTTTTAATTTTTAATAATTTATTTATAAAATTATTTAAATTTATTTAAACTTAAAAATTTTATTAGAAAATATATTAAAATAGCATATGAAGATATTTGAAAATTTGGAATTAATAATTTAGTACGTTTTGGAAAACCAAACTCTTTAGATATTACAATTCATCTTTCTTGGGATTATGCACAACAAATTCAATTACCATATTCATCTCAACAAGAGGTAAATAATTTTATTGAATTTATAAAAATTTTATTATAATTTATATAATAATAATTTATTAATTATTTTATTATTAGGTAAAATTTATTTTATAAAGTTCATTTATTTGAAATATGTGATAATACATTTCTACGTCAAGTAAATAATAATAATTTTTTTATTATATAATTATATTTATATTAATATATTTTATAATTTTCAGGTAAATTATCTTATTAAAGAAAGTGAATTAGTTGGTAAAAGTGCAGATACTGTCATTTCTTTAGTTTATAATTATTTTGAATTACATGGATTAGAAGAAAAAAAATTGGTAATTTATGCAGATAATTGTTCTAGACAAAATAAGAATAATGCAATAATAGCATATTTAGCTTGGAGAGTTTTAACAGGATTACATGATAGTATAACTTATTGTTTTATGGTTGCAGGACATATTAAATTTAGTCCAGATAGATTTTTAGATTGATAAAATTACTTTTAAGAAAATCTAAAGTAGATAATCTTAATAATCTAATCAAAATAATTCAGCATTTTACTACTAGTAAATATAATATTGCTCAAATAGTTTTTGATGATAAAAAAAATCAGGTTGTACATTTTTATGAATAGACAAATTGGTTAAAACAAAATTTTACAACAATTTCAAATATATTAAAACAATATTATTTTGAATTTAATAGTTTAGACAAAGGAAAAGTTAAAATTAGTATATCTTCTAATGGAGAAAAAACAACTATACAAATTGAAAAAATTAGACAAAAAGATAAATTTAATCAATTAGTTGAAAAAAATTATCTGGTCTTAGTGCAGAATGACAATGGTATTTATATAAACAAATAAGAACTCATATACAAAATTATAACAAAAAAGATGATTTATGTCCAATGCCTACTGTTGCTAAACCAAATAAAATTTAAATAAAACTAAATATTAAATAAAACTAAATATTAAATTTATTATTAAATAAAATTATATAAAATTATTGGTTGAAATTATTTTATTATAATATTTTGTATAAATTTGTAAAATAAGGTAACAAAAAAAGTTCAAAATAGAACAAAAAAAACACTTGCCAACGATCATCAAAACCAAATTTTCCTACTAATAAAAAAATGACTTTTTTGTTGAAGAGTTGTGGTCTACGTTGTGGTTTGTCTAAAGGTCAATGTTTTTGCTTTGCGGGACTCCTCTAAGAAGATATTTGGCATACAAGCCAAGAGCATTATTATACAAAATAACTGACAAAAGGTTCTCTTGTATAAAAAATCTTGGTGGAGTTTGGGCAAAAGACTCAACTTTGTCGACGAAGCTTCTAGGTCGTTACTTCAAAGAAAAACACAGGGGAAACAACAAAACCTTTTCTTTTCTAAAAGCCACACTCTTTCTTTTGGCTTAGATGGTCTCTCTCTTTTTTTTTCTCGCCCTTCCGTCGGTTTTCCAAAATTTTTTACAAAAAGTGGGAATTTGGCTTACTCTCTCTAAAAGATCAGCATTGTTTACTTTCCAAATTTGGACGGACTCAGTAAAATGCAACCACGTGACATGTCTGTTTACAAATACAGTGCTACCTCAGTAAAGTCAGATCAGGACCTTTAGTTAAAGAGATATCCAAAAGCGGTTATAAGTCAGAAAATTTTATACGTTAAGGCAAAGCTTTACATTAGAGATATATAATCGTTACATTTGTTATATAATTTTTTCAGTCTTGTACAGGTTATAATAGTGCATTCTGGTTATGTAGAGAGGTAAAATTCCTCTCAAACTATTATCTTTTTTCTATAAAATGTTTTTATTTTTTCCTGTTTTTTATTTTTTTAGGTTTTTTTATTTTTATTTTTCATTCATTTTTCCCTACTCCCCCCTTTTTTATATCTTCTTTTTAGTCATAGTTCATTTTCATTTTTTTATAGATTTTTTGATAAAATAATTCTAGCTTGTCTGTAAGTTAGTACAACGGGCTGCATTAAGGACCGTAAGGTAACTGAATGAAGTTGGGCTTGTAGTTCTATAAATTAAATGCATATAGTTTATATATA